TGAAACTGATTCAGCATCGCCGCTTACAATGGTTTGTCGCTACCTCCCTAAACCTGATCACGCTTTCGAAAATGTGGTCCCACCACAGTCTCCTTACCCAAGCTTGAGTTGACAACAAAGGGGGGAAAAAGTCCCGATCGGGTACTATACTTCAAGACCTATACCTAATTGGTCTCTGGATGGTGTGCGGAACTTGTCGCTGAGGAACCAACTGGATCAATATCAATGTGCGCATTTAACTCAGTCACTTGTGAGCAGTGATGTGGGATAATTGGTATTGATTGGTTTAAACTGACTGCAATTCGAGCTTCACCTTTGCGCACAATCCTCAGTTCATCGATTAAACCACTCAGAAGCAGTAGACTCGAGTTTTACTCTTGTTAGAACTTACCAGTAGTGCATATTCACCGTCCCGACGGGATTTGAACTCCGGACCCATCGCATGGAAGCCGTGTGCGTTATCACTGTGCCAACCAGCTCATACCATGGCTGAACCAAATTGCCAATTCATGTTCTTTTTAGGTGTCACCTGTGATTGCCAGTCTGATGAGCTCTAATAAGAGCGAAACTCGAGTCTACTGCTTCCGAATGTATGGTTGAATCGATAAACTGAGGATTGTGTACGAAGGTGAAGTTCGAAGGATAGTCAGGTCAAATCAATCAATATCGCCTATCGCCGGGTATGGATAGCCACGGTCAGAGACTTTCGTGCAGCCGGCTTATCTTTTCCAAGGAGCCAGCCGCTGTAAAGTCATTGTTTGTGTATTGATTTTTGTGACTTGTCATGTTAGCTGTTCCGCTTTCCGCAATCTGAGAAAGCGACAGGTTGAGTTAAGCTCGGCACCTGATTTAGTGATCACAGCGATTTACTATGACTTGGTAGTTTCTAAAAATGTATGGAATCATGCGTGAGAAAAACTAGGGTCATGTTTCAGTCATTTAGTTACCATAGTTTTCTGTACTTTACAGACGCTCCAGTCACTTCGTCCGCGTGGACTTCGAGGCGCGCAGCTGTTCTTTGTGAATACTTCTCGATTTCTGTCGCATGCGGACTCGAGCAGTGCCAACTTGGTGTTCCATCCGAAACGGATTCTTTTACTATCCAAAATCACCCGATACGACTTCGAGCGTCAGTTGCTCGGCGCATCTGACGATGAAAAAATTCGGTCTGCAGTAAGTGGTCTCCGCGTTTCCATTCCGGCAACTAACGATCGTATGTACTTCCGGTTTCAGCTGAAGCGAAAAGGACTCAATGTGGACGCTTTGCTTACCCGACATCATGGACATCATCAACGAGTCGCGGAATTTCAAAAGCAACTGAGGTAACTCTTTTGGTTTTTTTCTCACATTTTATTCGCTCCCTATTCTCTTTCTTCCCACTGTACGAATTATAGCTACGCGTATTTAGGAGTTAGCTTCAGTCTCAGGGTACTGATGGTTGAGCAGTTTAAGTCTCTGCCATTGGTGTGCTTTGGGTCCCAAGATCCACACCCTAAACTTGCTGCCAGCTGCAGCTTCGTTGTCGTCCAACTCAATATAACATGGAGCTTACGTGGGTCATATGTGGCTCGTCACTAGGAGTCACAGGGCTTTGGCTGCCGCTTAGGGGGCGTTAACAGCGAGTTCTCGTGGCTAATGGGTTCACTGTTACAGTTTGAAGTAAGACTATTGATAAAATGTATAACCATTTATCTGGCTGAACCATTCCGTGATACTTATTTCCTTCCTTCGACGTGAGATCCGTTTATTCGTCCGATGTGGAATCTGTGATGCATCAATTCTACTGATCCTCCTTTACGATATTGAACCATGAGGGTTTAACACGAAATGTTTTATCTGTTTGATGTGATATCAGGGTTAGCTATTGGAAATCGAATCTAATAAGTAACCAGGTGTTGGGACGATCACCTCATAGGCAACTCCTATATAGTGGATAAATCCCATGTTCACACTGCACCCAGAGGTGAAGCTGCCTTAACACACATTCGACCGTCTAAAACCGTATGTAACTTGTGGCGTTTTGCTCAGTCTTCATTTTTTTGTAAAACGGGATCAATTCAAAAACAGTCGCTTCTAACCGAAATAGCACTAGCTGAGTTCTGTCTCCTATGGGAATCATTAACTCTAAAAGCTCCACCAAAAGCTAACCTGATTCTGTCTATTGCATTCCACAAAACCCATCCATCCATCTCGTTGAGCACGATCGGTTGCCTTCTCAGTTGTTTGCACTCGCTTTCCGCCTCACCATGCAGTGTCAATTACGGCTGACTCATCGTTACCTCATCGGTTTTGTTCCATTTTTTTCCTGCGCGCTCGAGCGTTACAACGTTTCCTGTAGAGATTCGTGCGGATTTCGGCTCTCAACAAACTCTATAGGTGTCACCTTGATAACCCAATAATCTCCATGTTCACTTCCTCTCAAGCTGTTGCCAGGTGTTCCCGAAGTAGGGTCAAGTCTTACTCATTTTTGTTTCAAAAAGTGTTGTATAGCTTATGTTCGGTAGGTCTTGATTTTTTCATCAGTTCAGTTCAGCTCGAACAACTATTGAGCATTCGCTTCCGTGCATCGCTTTTGATTGCTGTCTTTTGACTGCCCATTTGGATAAACAATAGGAGGAAACAGGAACGTTGAAAGTAGGATGAAACAGAAAATTGCGAAGTTCAGAGGACTAATGATGCAAAGGAATTGAGAAGATGCCTCTGTATATGACACCCAGCTATATCACTCAGTGTTTCTAACCATCGGTTACAATCAGCCCGAGGTTCCCATCCAGGGAACCTAACAGGACCTATGTGACTCAGACTCCTGGTTGGGGCTTTCATACCCTCATGCCAGGTTTTAGCTTGACCACCTTTGGCTTTATTCCACCCACCACTTGCCTCGGCGAACATCGCTCGCCGTGGCAACCTATTTGGTGACATGCGTCACACATACCCCAACCAACGTAATCTATGGAGGTCGACCACTTGCTCCATTGAACGACCGCGATTGCCTTAAACTCTGTGCCTCACCTCATCATTGCTCGTCCGGCTGCCCCACCAGATTCATGCAATGCTGTGTAGACAGCGGTGTTCGCACACCGATAACCTATTTTTATCCTGTTTTCCTAATGGTAAAGTTTCTGCAGATCTGGCCGAACCGCCACGGCATGCACTCGACCCTTCACAGACAGCCGGATGTCGGGACGGTGTGTTCATCTCTGGTCTGACTTCTTGTTTGTTACACACTTTCGCGTGATGAACAGCAGACGGGGAGAACTTCGTAGTTATGAAGACCTGCGGTTCAGTGATGGAAACCGGTAACTTTAGCCCCGCGGGACTTGGAGCGGC